AAACGATTGCCCGCTGATGATCTTCACTACTTCACACTTTGGCAAAACCTAGTCGAAAGCGCACCGGTTGCCGGTGCGAGGGTGTTTTTTTTGCACAGTTCCCCCGCAGGCTTTTTTCGCCAGTGGCACGTTCTTTCCGGCAGATGCTTCTAGCTAAAAGAACTGAGACTGGCCACCGCGACTGTTAGTCATTTTTACAATGACTCTCAATCCACGCCCAAAAATCCAGTACTTGGGTTGCGGAGTTACGTCAAATTTCACGTGTTCTTGCGTGAGTGGCAAACTGACATAATTCCATAACCAGAGCAGTTGGAGTGCTGAAACTTTCCGAGCGTTACCCAAAATCGTGTTTGAGCAACTGCAGGTAAAAAAAGCATTCACGTTACCACTCACGTACGAGCAAATGAAATTTGACGCAACTCCGCAACCAGGGCGGCTTGAGTGCTGAAAGTCTTCGTCTCCAGTTGCTCAGGCACGGTCCTGAGGAACGCTCAGAAACTTTCAGCACTCAGGCCGCCCTGGTTGCGGAGTTACGTGAGATTTCATATGTCCGTACGTGAGTGGTAACGTGAATGCTTTCTTTACCTGCAGTTGCTCAAACAAGATTTTGGGTAACGCTCGGAAAGTTTCAGCACTCCAGCTGCTCTGGTTATGGAATTATGTCAAACTTTATGTCCGTATACGTGAGAGTTACGTGAGACGTGAAGGGATGTATAAGTCATTTTTGCGTCCGTCTGGTCAAAGGCCACCGTTGGTTATGCCCAGAAAGTCCCAGTCCTCCGACTGCTTCAATTCTGAAGCTAAAAAGCGCATGCATGAAATTTTCACGTGTTCGTACGTGAGATGCAGAAGGGCTGGACAACTCAGTATACTTTCACGGGCACAACAGTGGGCGATAAGTAATGCTGCAAAACTGCAGCTCTCAACAGCTTAAATCTGGAGTAGGCATGATGCCAGTTTAGACTCTGACGTGTGCGAATGTGAGACCTATGGGTGTGTGAAGGCTGAATTTGAAATCTTTGGATTAGACGCGGCCAAAGAACATGTCTGTGGAATTCCAGCCTCCTAGCTTGAGCCGTTCCCGAAAACCCGAGAGAGTGGGAACAATGAATTTGAATTTGCAGGACCATACTTGGGTAGGGGTTACTACCCCAAAATTTCAGTTTCCTAAATTCCGTGGTTCCTGAAATAATAATTTATTTGCCAAAAGTTTCACGAGGCCGCATGTTGTACCCGGAGGCA